ACAGAACAGAAGTTAAGGTGTGGTCTTCCCGCGACTTTAAGGCTATTTGTAGTAGGAATTCATTGTTCTTTTCTCCCCCGCCCCCCTTCGTCAGCACTTAGCGCAGAGCTTGATAACCGTGCAAAAGAGAGGGAAGCAGTGAACGAAGCGAAAAATGAAGTAGTTAGAATTGGACAAGAACTAGATGGACTTGAAACTACGCTGAACGCTGCCAGTGGAAGACGCCGTAGACGTAGAAATCTCAGTCTGCTGCAGGAATTGCAAACTGCACTAACTAACTCGGACATCATTATGTTAAGCAGGGACGTCCAGAGAATTAACTCCCTATCAAAAGAACTGACAACTCTCAGAAACAGACTTGTTATATTCACTGCAGAAGTTGCTGCAAATGCATCGGGACTCGATGTAACAGCGTTGTTGGGCAGTGTTGTAAGTGCTAAGCAAACGGCTCAAAATGTTACTGAGGTGGCTCGGCAAGAACTAGCAGTTCTTGAGGATGAAATTAACATTATTGTTGTGGAATTTCAAAACAGCGGTAGCACCGTCCCACCTTTGCCATCTCTCGAGCCTGAACCTACTATCAAGCCAACTGCATCTCCCACAACTCCACCTGCTACAAACCCACCTTTAACAACGCCACCTACTACAGCTCCACCATTGACAACTCCACCTCCAACAAATCCACCTCCGACAACTCCACCTCCAACAAATCCACCTCCGACAACTCCACCTCCAACAACTCCACCTCCAACAACTCCACCTCCAACAACTCCACCTCCAACAACTCCACCTCCAACAACTCCACCTCCAACAACTCCACTTCCAACAACTCCACCTCCAACGACTCCAACAACTCCACTTCCAACAACTACGGCATGTTCCGTAACAAGAAAATATTGCGGTAATATTTTCAATGTGTAGAATATTTTCGATATATATGTGTGTGAATATATATATATATATATTTATTTCTCTCTCTCTCTCTCTCTCTTTCTTTTTCTTTTCTTTTTTTTTTCAGATAAATTTTACTATGCATAATTTGTTATAAATGCACTAGTACTGACATAAGAAGGTAAACCGAATTAAGTATATACTTTAAATCTTACCAGAGGACTGCGGCGTGGCAACTGTCAGCGTTGCCGACTCGAGGATCGTTGGCGGCGCTGACGCATCGTCCGGGGAATTCCCTTGGCAAGTCGGACTCGCGACCGAATTTCCGAGTGAGTCAAGTGGGTGTGGGGGATCTCTTATCAAGAGCAATTGGGTCCTGTCGGCTGCCCACTGCTTCTTTGATGACAATGGGTAAGGCTGTGTGTGTGTGTGTGTGTGTGTAAGAGTGTGAACGTATGTGTGCAAGAGCGCGTTTTCAACAAGACTGCTTATGCGATTATATTTATTACATTTCATCCTACCAGACCCTGACTGTTTCAGAGTTGCGGCGACCTCGGTGGTGGTTCAGTACGGATCAACAAATCTTGCAACTGCAACAGAAGTCACAGCAGTCAGATACATTACACATGAGAATTACAATGCTTCGTCTTACGTAAGTCATATCATAGTCAATTTCTTTCTCCATAAGGTGACGCACACTGATGGTAATGATCAATGTACAGTTAATAATTTTCTGTCATTTGATGTGAACTATTCCAGCTGCATGACATCGCTCTGGTTGAGCTTCCCCAAGCTCTCGACTACGCGAATAACCCCAACGTTCAACCAATATGCCTGGGAGAGGAGGAGGACTTTAACTTCGGAGGCAAAGTGGTAGCGACAGGATGGGGCGCACTCAGTTATGGTAAGGCGAAATTTTACTATATAAGCATAAGAGACGAGTGTATAGGAGAAAAGAATGAACTTTGTCCTATATAGACCGCATCCCTTCAGAATGAACAAAATATGTTTTTTTATATCAAGATTTTATATATTTACTGGATATTCACTATTCTTATAGACACAAAGGAAAGCCCAGACATCCTTCAGGAGGTGATGCTGGACCTGATCACGACAGAGCAGTGTAAGACGATGGAGGACCTTCCTTCGGACACCTCCGTTATCTGTGCCCTCACTCCTAACAAGGACACGTGTTCGGTAAGCTCCAATGTCCTCTTTATTTTGCTGACAGGTTTTCCATCATCCTTTAATCTAAAACCGTTTAAAGTAAGATTGTGCCTCTCTCAGTTGGGCTTATATGTGAGAATGGCTCTGTTTAGAGACAAGCCTGGATAAATGTACCCTAAAAATCAAACCTTAACACTGAAAGCATAAATATCCACATATATAAATACACATATGTGTATATGTATGTATAATTATATATATGTGTATATAAACATATATGTATATATATATTATGTATATATATATTTAGATATTTGAATGTGTATATATGTGTATATATGAATATAAATACATATTTAGATATATACATGTGTATATATATGTATATATACAAATGTATATGTGTGTGTGTGTGTATTATGAATATATGAACATATATATATATATACAAATTTATATATTTATATACATATATATTCATACTGTAAATATGTATATATATATATATATATATATATATATATATATATATATATATATATATATGTATGTATATATATACATATGTGTGTGTGTGTGTGGGTATGTATATATATACATACACATACATATATGTATGTATTTGTGTATAGAGTATGAATATATATATACATATATATGTATATATACATATACACATAAATATATGCATATATAAATACATGTGTATATAATATATACATATATATATATATATATATATATATATATATATATATATATATATATACGTATGTATGTATGTATATATATGCATATATATATGCATACACACACACATACATATATAAACGCATATAGATACACATAAGTGTTGTATGCATGATTGTTTCAAGTTCCTGAAGAAGCAGATACTCTGTTACTCTTTTTTCGGTTGTGCTTCACGAATACAGCGATCAATATTTTTGTGCAGCCAACGTTTTAGGGTATTTTCGTCACATCCGACAGCTAGGGCCTGAGTAGAGTCTGTTGAGTCCTTAATTCTTCACCTCAGCCTGGAGATATACCGTAACGCAGTATAACCCTTCTTCCACACTCCCCTCTAGGGTGACAGCGGCGGCCCCCTCGTCACCCAGCTGTGCGACGGCCGGTGGGCGCAGCTGGGGATAGTCAGCTATGGTTTCGAGTGCGCCCGACCCTCGAAACCCGGAGTGTACACCAAAGTGTCTGCTTATTTCGACTGGATCGAGACCAACTCGGGTGGTACGACTTGCTGATTACTTTTCAAATTTTGATGTGTCACGTTGTATATATATATATATATATATATATATATATATATATATATATATATATATATATACATATATATTCATATATATGTATATCAAACCTTCACCTAGTGATGCGTCATACACATACTAAAACGGTTTTTAACCATGGTCCATAGTCCATAGTTACACTATATATATCTACAGTATACATTCATATATATGTATGTATACATACAAAGTTACCAACAAGCAATAAACTGTGCTATCATGACCGCCAACTCACACTTTACCATCAGTCCACTGTTGAACTCGTTCACTGTCTGCACGCTAAGATTGGAATTTTTGATGCACCAGAATTGCACGAAGCTCGTGCCTTGCATTCGTGACGATTTTCGGCTTTTTTCATTATTCATTTAGTCCCTGTGCTTTCAGAAGATTTGAATCTGCTCAGTATCTTTGCATATATTTACTTCTTGTTAATGTGCTTACACACTGAAGTAGAGAAGACAAAACTCTTTGTTTCAGAATAAGCATTTCAGTCAGTTTTTTTATTTTTTATGGGGGGGGGGGCTTGTGGTGACTAAACAGTGTATGTATATGTATATATACACTGTACTTATATATATATATATATATATATATATATATATATATAAATATGTATATACATATATGCATACATACGTACATACATACATTGAAATATATAGACATGTATATCTGTGTGTCTGTGTTTGCGTGTATACATATATATGTGTATATATACATATATATACGCATATATGTGTATGCATACTTATATATATGTATGTGTATATATATATAATATATATAGTATGCATGAGGCTCCGTACGACCCGCTGGTTACCGTTGACAGTATTCTTACTCAACTGTCTCTATGAACTGAGAGAAAAAATCCAAATTGTTTCCAAATTGCGCTTCACCGTTTCGCGCTACGCTGAATTGAAACGAGTGAATACGAAATTTTGTGTGCATTTTCGTTTGGATTAAAATCAAAGGTAATTAATGTATAATTGGCTTCTTAAATTTCAATAAAATAGTCGTGATACATAGTTCTTTTTTTGGTCCGGTCACCTATTCAAATGAAAAAGTTCTTTCGTGTGTGAGTCGGTTGTGTATGCTGTAAATGGACAATCATAAACAGCAAGGAAGAAATCTACGTACAATCCAGGACATGCACACCCATAATGTACGACAGAAGACGCATACAAGGAATTTAGGTCAAATGAGTTCTCTGGCGGATTCTTATGTGAAATCTACACTGTAGGAGGTATGGCAATTGTGCAAAAAAATCATGTAAAATGTTTTGGTAGTCTGTATAAAAAAGAAGCTTGAATATGTATATTTCTTTTGTGAATTGTTGAAATTTTTTCTTGAATGTGTTCCGGGTTTGTCATTTATTGTTATTGTATTTTTTAGATGCTCCAACAACAGTTGCTCCACCGACTTCAGCTCCTCCGTCACCAACTACAGCTCCACCTCCTTCATCAACTGCAGCTCCACCTCCATCATCAACTGTAGCTCCACCTTCATCACCAACTACTCCACCTCCATCACCAACAACAGCACCACCATCTCCAACAACAGTACCACCATCACCAACTACAGCTCCTCCATCACCAACCACAGCTCCTCCATCACCAACTACATCTCCTCCATCAACAACTACAGCTCCTCCATCACCAACTACAGCTCCTCCATCACCAACCACAGCTCCTCCATCACCAACTACAGCTCCTCCATCACCAACCACAGCTCCTCCATCAACAACTACAGCTCCTCCAGGAACGACCACTTGCGGTATCACCAGAGCATACTGTAGTGAGTTTCCGAAATTTTTGAAATCGTCTCTAGAGGAAGCTGATTGCATGATTTATTGTTCTTCATTAAGAACCCATCATCAGAAATCCCGAAGTTGAAAAAAAACATGGCATATTTTACTCTTGCAGTTCCGTGAACTGGTCGCAAAAAGTTATATTCTTGACATGCCTTATATATGTATCGATAAAAGGGGAAAAAAATATATCCTCCTAATTTGGATAAATCATTCGCAAGCTTATTCGTTTTTTTCTTCCGAAATACGAAATTACCCTACCGTCAGCGGGTTGCGGGGTAGCACCCATTTCCGTCGGGAGCACGAGGATTGTCAACGGAACGGAGGCATCAGCGGGCGAGTACCCTTACCAGGTAGCGGTGATATCCACCATCGCCGGTAGTCAGTATCGGTGTGGGGGGTCGATCATTAAGGAGAGGTGGATTCTTACTGCTGCCCATTGCTTCTACGACAATAGCAAGTATGTTATCTTTGTTTTCTAGCATTCCCCTATAAAAGAAAAATGACTGTGTGTATGTGTGTGTGGGTGTATCTATACACGTACATATATATGTATACATATATACGTATTTATATATATATATACATATATATATATGTGTGTGTGTGTATGTGTGTATGTATGTGTGTGTGTGTACGTTTGTGTGTGTGTATGTGTGTGTGCGTATGTGTGTGTGCGTGTGCGTGTGCGTGTGTGTGTGTGTGTGTATGTGTGTGTGTGCGCGGGTGTGTGTATGTGTGTGAGTGTGTGTGTATGCGTGTGTGTATGTATGTGTATAATAGATCAATAATGATAATGATTACGACATTAAAATTTGCAACAAAACACCTTTTTTTCTCGCCGAAAGCAACAAGGCGACAAGTGTCGACATTGTTTACGGTACCATCAATATCAACGGCGGCACAACCGTGACGGCTTCGAGGTTCATCGACCATCCAAGTTACGACAGGATTACTCAGGTAAGCATCATGAGAGAAAGATTAGATTATATTTCTTTGCATTTTTACATTATCAAAGGCTATATCTTCCACCTTTCCTTCCTTCTTCCCTCCCTCTTCCTCCCATTCACCCCTCCTCCATCACCAACCACAGCTCCTCCATCACCAACCACAGCTCCTCCATCACCAACCACAGCTCCTCCATCACCAACCACAGCTCCTCCATCACCAACCACAGCTCCTCCATCACCAACCACAGCTCCTCCATCACCAACCACAGCTCCTCCATCACCAACCACAGCTCCTCCATCACCAACCACAGCTCCTCCATCACCAACCACAGCTCCTCCATCACCAACCACAGCTCCTCCATCACCAACCACAGCTCCTCCATCACCAACCACAGCTCCTCCATCACCAACCACAGCTCCTCCATCACCAACCACAGCTCCTCCATCACCAACCACAGCTCCTCCATCACCAACCACAGCTCCTCCATCACCAACCACAGCTCCTCCATCACCAACCACAGCTCCTCCATCACCAACCACAGCTCCTCCATCACCAACCACAGCTCCTCCATCACCAACCACAGCTCCTCCATCACCAACCACAGCTCCTCCATCACCAACCACAGCTCCTCCATCACCAACCACAGCTCCTCCATCACCAACCACAGCTCCTCCATCACCAACCACAGCTCCTCCATCACCAACCACAGCTCCTCCATCACCAACCACAGCTCCTCCATCACCAACCACAGCTCCTCCATCACCAACCACAGCTCCTCCATCACCAACCACAGCTCCTCCATCACCAACCACAGCTCCTCCATCACCAACCACAGCTCCTCCATCACCAACTACAGCTCCTCCATCACCAACTACAGCTCCTCCATCACCAACCACAGCTCCTCCATCACCAACCACAGCTCCTCCATCACCAACTACAGCTCCTCCATCACCAACTACAGCTCCTCCATCACCAACCACAGCTCCTCCATCACCAACTACAGCTCCTCCATCACCAACCACAGCTCCTCCATCAACAACTACAGCTCCTCCAGGAACGACCACTTGCGGTATCACCAGAGCATACTGTAGTGAGTTTCCGAAATTTTTGAAATCGTCTCTAGAGGAAGCTGATTGCATGATTTATTGTTCTTCATTAAGAACCCATCATCAGAAATCCCGAAGTTGAAAAAAAACATGGCATATTTTACTCTTGCAGTTCCGTGAACTGGTCGCAAAAAGTTATATTCTTGACATGCCTTATATATGTATCGATAAAAGGGGAAAAAAATATATCCTCCTAATTTGGATAAATCATTCGCAAGCTTATTCGTTTTTTTCTTCCGAAATACGAAATTACCCTACCGTCAGCGGGTTGCGGGGTAGCACCCATTTCCGTCGGGAGCACGAGGATTGTCAACGGAACGGAGGCATCAGCGGGCGAGTACCCTTACCAGGTAGCGGTGATATCCACCATCGCCGGTAGTCAGTATCGGTGTGGGGGGTCGATCATTAAGGAGAGGTGGATTCTTACTGCTGCCCATTGCTTCTACGACAATAGCAAGTATGTTATCTTTGTTTTCTAGCATTCCCCTATAAAAGAAAAATGACTGTGTGTATGTGTGTGTGGGTGTATCTATACACGTACATATATATGTATACATATATACGTATTTATATATATATATACATATATATATATGTGTGTGTGTGTATGTGTGTATGTATGTGTGTGTGTGTACGTTTGTGTGTGTGTATGTGTGTGTGCGTATGTGTGTGTGCGTGTGCGTGTGCGTGTGTGTGTGTGTGTGTATGTGTGTGTGTGCGCGGGTGTGTGTATGTGTGTGAGTGTGTGTGTATGCGTGTGTGTATGTATGTGTATAATAGATCAATAATGATAATGATTACGACATTAAAATTTGCAACAAAACACCTTTTTTCTCGCCGAAAGCAACAAGGCGACAAGTGTCGACATTGTTTACGGTACCATCAATATCAACGGCGGCACAACCGTGACGGCTTCGAGGTTCATCGACCATCCAAGTTACGACAGGATTACTCAGGTAAGCATCATGAGAGAAAGATTAGAATATATTTTTTTGCATTTTTACATTATCAAAGGCTATATCTTCCACCTTTCCTTCCTTCTTCCCTCCCTCTTCCTCCCATTCACCCCTCCTCCCTTACATCCTTCCACCCTTCTTTTCTTTAGGCCAACGACATCGCGCTGGTGGAACTGCCGCAACCTCTGAGTTATGCGACCGACCCCAATATCCAACCGATCTGCATGGGACTAGAAGAGGACATACCGTACGGAGGCAAGGCGGTGGCATCGGGATGGGGAGAACTGTCGTTTGGTAAGTCCACTGGTTTCTTCTCTCTTTTTCTTCTTTGGCTTTATTATCCACTGAGTACATAGTAAGAAAAGATTGAGACCCACGACTGTAGTATTAGTAATAGTAGAGTCCCCACCACCCGTGTTCCCAACTACTGCCTCACCGTCTTCTCAGTGTTGATGAGGCTGAATGGTGAGCTTCCCTTCCCTAGGTCCTCGCCTCCTCCCCTCCCCTGTACCATACCATCCAGTTACAATGAAACCACTTCTTGCTAGATAACTGGTATTTTACATTTCAGGTATGATTCTGAAATATTTCAATGAACTTTTAAAAGTACAGTATTGTTTTATATGCCATACTAAAATATATACCATACTTTATCGTTATATTTATCGTATTTTAAATAGGTGGGTCATCACCTAGCGTTCTGAGGGAAGTAGAGTTAGATATCATCACAATAAACGAGTGCCAGCAGAAGGTTTCTTTACCACCAGACACAAACTCAGTTGTATGTGCTCTGACTCTCTATAAGGATACCTGCCGGGTAAGCAACAGCTTTATGGCCATTAATCGTTTAATCTTGTGGTACAGATTTCTCAGTCCTTAAAATGCCTTGGCGAGTCATCCTATTTAAGAAATCTTCACTTTGTACATATACGCAGGGTGACAGCGGTGGTCCTCTTGTTGCGAAACTTTGCGACGGCACCTGGGCTCAAATTGGAATTGTCAGCTATGGTTTCCAGTGTGCCGTCCCAGACAACCCTGGTGTGTACACCCGTGTGTCTGCTTTCGCTAACTGGATCTCAGAGAACACTGGAGGCAGCAGCTGTAGTTCTACCCTGAGTAAGCCTTGGTTTTAAACTGATGTATGCTGCACTGTGGTGTAAAAATGAATCATGACAGAACAGAAGTTAAGGTGTGGTCTTCCCGCGACTTTAAGGCTATTTGTAGTAGGAATTCATTGTTCTTTTCTCCCCCGCCCCCCTTCGTCAGCACTTAGCGCAGAGCTTGATAACCGTGCAAAAGAGAGGGAAGCAGTGAACGAAGCGAAAAATGAAGTAGTTAGAATTGGACAAGAACTAGATGGACTTGAAACTACGCTGAACGCTGCCAGTGGAAGACGCCGTAGACGTAGAAATCTCAGTCTGCTGCAGGAATTGCAAACTGCACTAACTAACTTGAGCATCATTATGTTAAGCAGGGACGTCCAGAGAATTAACTCCCTATCAAAAGAACTGATAACTCTCAGAAGCAGACTTGTTATATTCACTGCAGAAGTTGCTGCAGGTGCATCGGGACTCGATGTAACAGCGTTGTTGGGCAGTGTTGTAAGTGCTAAGCAAACGGCTCAAAATGTCACTGAGGTGGCTCGGCAAGAACTAGTAGTTCTTGAGGCTGAAATTAACATTATTGCTGTGGAATTTCAAAACAGCGGTAGCACCGTCCCACCTTTGCCATCTCTCGAGCCTGAACCTACTATCAAGCCAACTGCATCTCCCACAACTCCACCTGCTACAAACCCACCTTTAACAACGCCATCTACTACAGCTCCACCATTGACAACTCCACCTCCAACAACTCCACCTCCAACAACTCCACCTCCAACAACTCCACCTCCAACAACTCCACCTCCAACAACTCCACTTCCAACAACTCCACCTCCAACGACTCCAACAACTCCACTTCCAACGACTCCACTTCCAACAACTCCACCTCCAACAACTCCACCTCCAACAACTCCACTTCCAACAACACCTCCAACAACTCCACCTCCAACAACTCCACTTCCAACAACTCCACCTCCAACGACTCCAACAACTCCACTTCCAACGACTCCACTTCCAACAACTACGGCATGTTCCGTAACAAGAAAATATTGCGGTAATATTTTCAATGTGTAGAATATTTTCGATATATATGTGTGTGAATATATGTACATTTCTCTCTCTCTCTCTATCTATCTATCTATCTCTTTCTTTTTCTTTTTTTTCAGAAAAATTCTACTATGCATAATTTGTTATAAATGCACTAGTACTGACATAAGAAGGTAAACCGAATTAAGTATATACTTTAAATCTTACCAGAGGACTGCGGCGTGGCAACTGTCAGCGTTGCCGACTCGAGGATCGTTGGCGGCGCTGACGCATCGTCCGGGGAATTCCCTTGGCAAGTCGGACTCGCGACTGAATTTCCGAGTGGGGCAGGTGCGTGTGGGGGATCTCTTATCAAGAGCAATTGGGTCCTGTCGGCTGCCCACTGCTTCTTTGATGATAATGGGTAAGGCTGTGTGTATGTGTGTGTGTAAGAGTGTGAACGTATGTGTGCAAGACTGCTTATGCGATTATATTTATTACATTTCAACCTACCAAACCCTGACTGTTTCAGAGTTGCGGCGACCTCGGTGGTGGTTCAGTACGGATCAACAAATCTTGCAACTGCAACAGAAGTCACTGCAAAGCGATACATTACACATGAGAATTACGATGCTTCGTCTTACGTAAGTCATATCATAGTCAATTTCTTTCTCCATAAGGTGACGCACACTGATGGTAATGATCAATGTACAGTTAATAATTTTCTGTCATTTAATGTGAACTATTCCAGTTGCATGACATCGCTCTGGTTGAGCTTCCCCAAGCTCTCGACTACGCGAATAACCCCAACGTTCAACCAATATGCCTGGGAGAGGAGGAGGACTATAACTTCGGAGGCAAAGTGGTAGCGACAGGATGGGGCTATCTCAGTTTTGGTAGGTACAGTTTCACAACAGAATGTTAGATGCAGAAACACCACCATCACACATTAAGATACCTTTCAAAGCGGGAAAGAGCATATAACCTTCCATCTCATCAGTATAGCAATGATAAGGTGAGCATATAGAATACTTGTGTACTGAACACTCGCAGCACCACATAGGATTAAACTCCCAAAGCCAGCGCTCAGCCACTTCTGCCATTGAGTCATGGAGCACACATAACTTCATCAATGTCCACTATTATTTCCGCAACAGATACAAAGGAAATCCCAGAGATCCTTCAGGAGGTGATGCTGGACTTGATCACGACAGAGGACTGTAAAACGATGGAGACCCTTCCTTCGGACACCTCCGTCATCTGCGCCCTCACCACAAACAAGGACACATGTTCGGTAATGTCTCCTGTTTTGATAATATTTAACTCCAAATATGCACTTGGTCGTCTTTATTATTATCCATCAGTTGCTGATCCTGATATTTATCACGATCAACACCATTTTCTCAGAACCTTATAAATAGTACCGAACAAAGTTTTATACTTGGTTGTTTAAGGGTTTTTGTTTCTAGCTTAATGATACTTACAGAATCAACAATACTCCTTACATTTTCGGGAGATATTCCTTGGCTCCGACCGTTGGGACCCGAAAAAAGTTTTTTGAATCCGGCCCAAGGTTCCATATCTATGCCTTGTGACTTACTGTAACCTTCCTCCCCTCCCCCTAGGGAGACAGTGGCGGACCCCTCTTCACCCAGCTGTGCGATGGCCGGTGGGCGCAGCTGGGGATAGTCAGCTACGGCTTTGAGTGCGCCCGACCCTCGAAACCCGGAGTGTACACTAAAGTGTCTGCTTATTTCGACTGGATCGAGACCAACTCTGGCGGTACAAACTGTTGATTAATTTAGCTATAGCGATGCACGTGTGTTTTGTGTTAGCATGTTTTTTTTTTTTTGTTTTTTTTTTTTTTTTGAGAGAGAGAGAGATCATGTCGTGACCATTATTCCGTTATATGTGGGTCAACTTTATTTACTGTGTGTGCAGATTTACAACCAAGCATCACTCTCTCTCTCCTCATCAACCATCAACATCCCATGTCAACATCTTGATTTACAGCGGCAGTATCTTACTGGAGACATACCAAAAAAGTGTGTAGCCATAGAATTCTATTTTATGAAAAAAAAATATATATCCCGTTGACAAGAGGGCTTAAAAGTTCGGCTGTAAAACGATGGATATCATTTCAGAAAAACAACACAGTGCCCACAGGATGATGCTTTTTTGGTGAGGGGGGATAAAATAAAACAATAATGTATAAGTTCATAGGTAATTAATGATAGTCTTCGTTAAATACAGAAAGTTCATTCGTCCAAAAAGAATTGCAATACAAATAGAGATGCAAGATCCTACTTTAATCAACCTTATGTTTGGTAGAAAGACGTCACGATCTAGCCTCCCTAATCATATAAAGTTAATTTGTCCAAATAATAACAATTCAAATAACAGACGGAAACAATCTGCTTTAATGAGCTTTACATTTGCAAAACATTTCTGAACACTTCATTTGGTTTTGAACGTTGTTTGAATGTCCACTTGTTGTTACCGACCAAAATAAAACTTTCTGAATTACGTCCTGACCAACCGAGCGGGCGTCTTCGCCGGGCAGCGCAATGGCGGCTAAATTATGCAGGGCTCGCCCGTGGATGTTGTCCACACGGCGCGCCCGATGAAGCCAGTAGCATGTAATAAGCAAATTGCCTAGCATTACCAAGAAAACATTGTATAGCATGATGCTTTGCTTATATAGAAAAAGAAGAGAATATGGCCCAAAGATTGACTCAATGAAATATGTTTATGAAAGCCACACAACAATACTTCGGGAATTACAACATAGACATAAGCAGGATTTCAGAGAATATTTAAGAATGAGCACTTATTAAATGTTACTAGCAAAGGTGGTGCCATATATTATGAAAAAATACAGACATGCGAAACAGTTTAACAGCAGAAGCTCGAGCCACCAGACACCGCTTTGTAATTTCGTTCATCAGGCAAGTTGAAGTATGCTCGTCAAATGTGCCTGGCATGTCCGTCGATCAGGCCCACTCTGGACAGGCCTTTAGTAATATTACTGATTAAGTTAAAAAGTTGTTAGTGTTTCGAAATGAACGTGGATAATAACGATGAAGATGATAAAATTAATAACAATAATAATATAGGATGATATAATGCTGCCATAAGATAGGCCTGTGATTAAATATTTCAAGTTTGAGTTTAACGTTGTGGCCTGTAAAATTCAGTGCACAGTACACAAAAAAATATTTGCAGTTGGAGACCAACACCAGGTATTACCTTCTATCAAATTAATGATAAGCTTGTTACACGGACACGAGATGGGGCATGTTCTGGCTTAACCCATTTTTCTATAAACTGGCTTAGCCCAACTTTTACCCAGGGCATAAAACGTCCTAGCCTAACCTAGGTGGGGGTATACACTGGGTTATTACACCGGGGTACCTTCTATGCCTTACTAGAGGGGCGGTCGCACGAGCGTTTGTTATTTATTGAACCGTTTCTGCTACTTTAACATCGAAGATCATTAGCGGCGTATTCAAAATACAGCGATAGGGTGATGACTGCACAAATGATGATAAACAAAAATATATTTCAATTAATTTTATTCTTAAAAAATAGATATTGGGATTTATATCTCTATATTCATTAATTGTACTAATTATTTTTACACGGAAATTCATTTGTGAGTAACCGTAACGGTATCATTGTCTTTGCCTTTCGAGTTCCTCCATGAAGCCCGCCTGTATTTTTCCTCCAAAGAAATTTCTTGAAGCATATTATGATAAACACTTCTAATATTTCTTCTCTGCAACGACGAACGAACCCACATACGACACTTTCGTAATCGTTGAGCCACCATTTCTACAGCATGTGGCAAAATAACCTGAGAGGAGGGCCACGCGGAATAACCAACAGGGAAAAAGCGAGTGGTGGACCATGTCACAAACTGGTTGTAGAAAAAGTGCTCATGTGACCGTCCATTTAGTCCGCCATTTGTAAGTTGTACGAAATAAGGACTTAAGTTCATGACTCTGACAAGCGGATATATTAGCAATCAATGGTCGACTGCTGCCTTCACTTTGCAAGACCAAATTCAAACGTGAAATTTGCATATTATCCCTAAGTAGGTAAGTATGTTTTTTATTTTTTTTACTTTTTCAAAAGAGTGTCCATTATTAGCGAACCTTATATTACCGGTATGAAAAGCCTGTATACAAAATGTATGTCAGATTTCTTACAGGAGTGTATGTTTCAGGGGGGGGGGTCGTTTTGTATAAGATTAAGTGAAAAGTTTATACAAGTGAAAGCACTTCTCGATTGCAGTGAATTGGAAATTGAGAACATGAAAAACAATGTACTACGTTTAATTCCGCCACATACATTTATTACATTATATATCATATGTTCATGTATTTGTGTTCCAAATATTTTACTTAAAGCAGTGAAACTGATGATGTATTTTCCATCTAATTTTATGGTAAAGTAACATCCTTTACGATTGCAAAATAACCTATTTATGCTTATAATTATAAGTTTAGACATCAGTAAATCGATAGATATCAAAATATCTACAGTAGAATGAAAGGTCGCATTATCAAAAGCGTATTCAACAGAATCAAGTTCTGCGACACCTCCTGGATATTCAACGGAATCAAGCTCTGCAACATCCACAGGAGATTCAACAGAACCAAACTCTGTAACATCCACAGGAGACTCAACAGAATCAAGCTCTGCAACATCCACAGGAGATTCAACAGAATCAAGCTCTGCAACATCCACAGAAGATTCAACAGAATCAAGCTCTGCAACATCCACAGGAGATTCAACAGAATCAAGCTCTGCAACATCCACAGGAGATTCAACAGAATCAAGCTCTGCAACATCCACAGGAGATTCAACAGAATCAAGCTCTGCAACATCCACAGGAGATTCAACAGAATCAAGCTCTGCAACATCCACAGGAGATTCAATAGAATCAAGCTCTGCAACACCCACAGGGAACCCAACAGAATCTAGCTCAGCTACATCCACAGATTCAGCAGTAACTACAATCATGACAGAAAGTTCAAGCACATGTTCTTTGACAAGGAAATACTGCGGTAATAATCTTAACACAGGTTTTCTTGCCATATATACACCTTACCATGTAAAATCAGTCACTGGTGCACTTGCTTGAATCATTAGTAATCAGTGCTCACTGCTTCATTTCATCTTTTACCAGAGGACTGCGGTGTGGCATCTGTAAGCGTTGCCAGCTCGAGGATCGTTGGCGGCGCTGACGCATCGTCCGGGGAATTCCCTTGGCAAGTCGGACTCGCGACTGAATTTCCGAATGGGGCAGGTGCGTGTGGGGGATCTCTTATCAAGAGCAATTGGGTCCTGTCGGCTGCCCACTGCTTCTTTGATGATAATGGGTGAGGTTGAGGCTTTTTTATATGACCTCGGCTGTTCTAATCTTTCTATCCCAAAACATATCTCTTACCCTGAAACACATAAGAAAACATGAAAATTTCCCTTATACATATTTCTGGTTGTGTTTAAAATTACTGCAAGGATAACCTTTTCAGAAGTCAGAAGCCCTGGAGTAAATGACAGTTTACCCGCAGTTCGTGAGAAATAACAAGCCAAAACAGAGTAGCGGGCAGGTACACAACACACACTGGACGGGGAAAGGACATAATGTGAGGCCAAGCATACGACTTTAAAATAGCTGGAAATGTTTTAGGCTCGCACCTGAATTAGTTCAACCTATCAATGTCTAAACATTTCAGAGATACGGCGACCTCAGTGGTGGTTCAGTACGGATCAATAAATCTTGCAACTGCAACAGAAGTCACTGCAAAGCGATACATTACACATGAGAATTATAATGCCTCGCCTTACGTAAGTCATGTTATAGTCAGTTTCTTTCTCCATAAGGTGACGCACACTGATGGTAATGATCAATGTACAGTTAATAATTTTCTGTCATTTGATGTGAACTATTCCAGCTGCATGACATCGCTCTGGTTGAGCTTCCACAAGCTCTCGACTACGCGAATAATCCCAACGTTCAACCAATATGCCTGGGAGAGGAGGAGGACTATAACTTCGGAGGCAAAGTGGTAGCGACAGGATGGGGCTATCTCAGTTTTGGTAAGTACAGTTTCACAACAGAATGTTAGATGTAGAAACACCACCACCACCATCACATAAGAAGAGACCTTTCAAAGCGGGCGAGTGCATATCAATATAGCAATGTTAAGGTGAGCACATAGAATATTTGTGTACTAATCACTCGCAGCACCACATAGGATTAAACTCCCAAAGCCAGCGCTCAGTCACTTCTCCCATTGAGTCATGGAGCACACATAACTTCATCAATGTCCACTATTATTTCCGCAACAGATACAAAGGAAATCCCAGAGATCCTTCAGGAGGTGATGCTGGACTTGATCACGACAGAGGACTGTAAAACGATGGTGCTCCTTCCTTCGAACACCTCCGTCATCTGCGCCCTCACCACAAACAAGGACACGTGTTCGGTAATGTCTCCTGTTTTTTTATATTATTCATCGCCAAATATACATTTGGTCGTCTTTATTATCATCATTCATTTATCAGGATCAACACCATTTTCTCAGAACCCCAATAGTCGAACAGTTTTGTACTCGGTTGTTCAAGAAGAGTTTTTGTGTTTCTAGTTCAATGATGCTTACAGAATCAACATTACTCCTTACATTTTCGGGAGATATTCCTTGGCTCCGACCCTTGGGCCCGAAAAAAAGTTTTCTTTTTTTAATCGACACCTCAGCCCGGATATTACTGTGACTTACTGTAATCTTCCTCCCCTCCCCCTAGGGAGACAGTGGCGGACCCCTCTTCACTCAGCTGTGCGATGGCCGGTGGGCGCAGCTGGGGATAGTCAGCTATGGCTTTGAGTGCGCCCGACCCTCGAATCCCGGAGTGTACACTAAAGTGTCTGCTTATTTCGACTGGATCGAGACCAACTCCGGCGGTACAAATTGTTGATTAATATAGCTATAGCGATGTACGTGTGTGTTTAGGTGTGTGTGTGTGTGCACTGCTGTACCTGAATTAAACATGATTTTCACTGGCATTATGCTTAGGTGTAATAGGTAATATTTTGCAGCTTCCCTCGAAGTAGAAAGTCTCGCTGAAATTGCTGATGTAAATTCTAGTTTAAAAAAATAAATAAAATAAAATCAATTGCCTCTCCGTA